CAGAGTTCAGGCCCCACGACTGGACCCAAAAAAAATAAATAAATAAATCAACCAATACTGCCAGTACTGGAGCTTGAACACGGTCTCACTCTTTCCACTCTCCCTTAGCTTTTTTCACTCAAGCTTTTTTCACTTGAGCCATATCTCCACTTCCAGCTTTTTGGTAGTTAATTGGGGATAAGAGTCTCATGAACCTGGGCATTTGGTGACTTATGCCTGTAATCCTAGCTACTCGGGAGGCTAAGATCTGAGAACTGTGCTTCAAAGCCAACTTGGGCAGGAACCAGAAAACCGTGGCTTGCTAGCCTCGAGTGAAAAAGCTCAGTGACTGTGGCCAGGCCTGAGTTCAAATCCCACAACCAACAACAACAGAAAGTCTCATGAATTTTTCTGCTCTATCTTTGTACCTCAATCTTCAGTTGTCAGTCTCCTGAGTGGCTGGGATTATACGTGAGAGCTACCAACACTGGGCCAAAGTATACATTTTTAGTGGGTAAATTGTATGGTATGTGAACTATATCTCCCTATTCTCTATGAGGCCATGCACAAGCAGAGCGCAGGCCCTGGGCCAGGCCTGGAGAAGGAAGGAGGCCACAGGCTGGGAGCCTTGTGATTTTAGACACATGACTTCTCCAGTTTCAGTCTGTAAAACCTCAACCATCTGACCTAGCTCCAGAGTAAGCCATTATTTATGGTATCAATGCAGAAGAGGCATGCTACTTTACAAGCTAAACAAACAAACAAACAACAATAATAGCCTAAGGGATAGTATGGCGTAAAGAACAAAGAACCTTCACAAATGTCAGGTGGTAAACATGCACCAGGTACCATCAGAGACAATCTGGTTCAATGCCATATGCTGCTTCCTAAAGACTTACTTGAGCTCATTCCCCCACTGCTTCAGAGAGTAGAAGTTAATGGCGTTGGGGTGGCCAGAGGCTGGTTGGCTTGCAGCCTGGTCTCCCACCAGCTCTCCAGGAACGGTTTCCACAGCGAGGACATTTCTGGCTTTTTCTGCAGAAGCATTTGGATGTGGGTAAATCATATCTGAAACAAAGGCAAGCAACCATATTATCAGAGACTCAAAGCTTCCACATTATGCTTGTACCCTACATGAAACACCGACTTGATACAGTCTGTAACAATCTCAACGCGCGTGCGTGTGTGTGTTGGTACTGGGGCTTGAACTCAGAGCCCAGCCACTGTCCCTTAGCTGTTTTGCTCAAGGCTGGGGATCCACCACACTACCACTTGCATCACAGCTCTACTTCCAGCTTTTCGCTGGTTAATTAGAGATAAAGAGTCTCAGGGCTGGGAATGTGGCTTAATGGTAGGGTGCTTGCCTAGCATGCATGAAGCCCTGGATTCCATTCCCCAGTACCACATACACAGAAAAGCCAGAAGTGGTGCTGTGGCTCAAGTGGCAGAGTGTTAGCCTTAAGCAAAAGAAGCTCAGGGACAGTCCAAGGCCCTCAGTTCAAGCCCAGGACTAGCAAAAAAAAAAAAAAAAAAAAGAGCTTCACAGACTTTCCCACCTGGGCTGACTTCAAACCTCACCTCAGATCCCAGTTTCCTGAGCAGCCAGAATTACAGGCATGAGCTACCAGCATCTGGTACAATCACACACTTTCAATGGATAGTATATAAAACAATGTGCGGGAGACTTTGGTACTTGTAAACCATTTCAAACCACCAAAAACTTAACTGCACTGGCTTGGGGAGAGAAAGGTAAAGATTTTCTGCAGCCTTGTTGATCAGCAGCAGCCTTGGCATAAACCTGGGACCATGCTTCACACCCCTGTACTTACTGCTCCTCAGCATGTCCACGACAAAGCATTACAGGGGAAAAGCAAAGCAAGGTTATAGCCTGCGCTTTTTCTTCTAAGAAAAATGGAAAAAAAAAAAAAAACATCTCTGCTAGCATCTGCACAGTAAGTAAGTACATCACAGTGAATTCACAGGCAAGTGCCCGGATGCTAAAGTGCGCCCACGACCAACTTTCAAAACTTCCTCTTCAGTGCTGAATTTCACAATAATGGTATTTTGTTACATGAATGAGTAATAAGATGAGTGGGGCCGGGTGCTGGTGGCTCACGCCTGTCATCCTAGATGCTCAGGAGGTTGAGATCTGAGGATTATGATTCAAAGCCAGCCCTGGCAGGAAAGTCCATGAGACTCTAATCTCCCAAAAATCCACCAGAAAACCAGAAGTGGTGCTTTGGCTCGAGTGGTAGAGCGCTAGCCTCGAGCTGAAGAGCCCAGACCCAGAGTTCAAGCCCTACAATCAACAAGAGAGAAAGAAAGAGAGAAAGAAAGAGAGAGAAAGAGAAAGAGAGAGAGAAAGAGAAAGAGAGAGAGAAAGACAAAGAAAGGAAGGAAGGAAGAAAGGGAGGGAGGGAGGGAGGGAGGGAGGGAGGGAGGGAAGGAAGGAAGAAAGGAAGGAGGAAGGAAGGAAGGAGGAAGGAAAGAAGAAAGATGAGTGGGTATTATCAATGAAAGAAGGAAAGTAGTCATGGAACAGGAAGTGAAGAAATCAATAAAGGAGGAGTTAACAAGTTATTCTTTTTTGCATAGATTCTCCTATGATCAAAGGTTACTTTCTTTTTTTTAAAATCAGTCCTGGGGTGTGAACTCAGGGCCTGAGCGCTGTCTCTGAGCTTTTGTGCTAAGGCTAGTGCTCTATCACTTTGAGCCACAACACCATTTCCAGCTTTTTGTTAATTGAAGATAAAGGTATCATAGATTTTCCTGCCCAGGGCTGGCCTCAAATCTCAATCCTCTGATCTCAGCTTCCTAAGTAGCATGAGCTACCAGTATCCACCAAAATTTACTTTTTAAGGAAAATTTTGCTCCAAACACTTTGTATTCTCCCAAATGATACAAATGCTTCAGGACATGTTTATAGACAGAATTTACTATTATTTCACAATAATCAGTCTAATCCAAGCATCCTTCTTTTTTTCCTTCCATGCAGAAGCTTGAGCCCAGGGCCTTGTATATGCTAGGCAAGCACCCCTATACCTCTTTTTATTTTCTTTTCTTTTTTTGGTTGGTTGTGGGGCTTGAACTCTGGGCCTGGGTTGCTGTCCCTCAGCTCTTCAGCTCAAGGATAATACTCTACCACTTGAGCCACAGTGCCACTTCCAGCTTTTTCTGTTTATGTGGTGCTAAGGAATCGAACCCAGGGCCTCATGCATGGGAGGCCAGCACTCTACACTGAGCCACCTTCCCAGCCACTTCCCCATCTTTTTAGTTTTTTTGAGACAGGGTCTCACTATAAATAGCCCAAGTTGGTCTTGAACTTATCCTCCTTGAATTCATGGCTTCCCAAATGCTAGGATTACAGGTGTGCCCCACCATGCCGATCTCCACTGCATCTCCTTTAATAAGTATTCTCCCAATGATATTAACCGTGAAAACACAATCAGGGTAGAACTGCTGGCCACTAGAACCCAAGAAGCAAGCAGTTTCTAATGGCCCAGAGCACAGTGGAGTCACTTAGGACAGGCCTCCAAAAGGCCCAGGCACTGCCAAGAAGTCCAGGAGGCCTGGGTGGCACTGGCCCTGGAAGACACACATCCCACATAAGCAAAAGAAAACACTACTCATGCAGCCACCTCTGGCTACCTCACCGGAGCACCCTGAAGCCCAGCCACTGGGTTAGAAACCACCCGCCCCAGCAGCAACATGTGGGGCCTTCTGGTTTGGGGCACAGTGGCCAGGATGAGGTGGCACTGTCAGTGGTGCTGGCCCCCGGAGGCAGGGGGAAGGTGGAGGCTTTGTTTCAGAGACAAGTGAGAGTGCCAGGCGGGCTGGGCAGTCTTGCATTCTGAGCTGAGCCAGGAAGTGGGCACTGCCACAGCCAGCAAGCGCGGTGCCCCATCCTGTGTGGCTGGCCATTAGGGGAGGTGTGAGGCGGCCCCTCCACTGTGACCAAGAAACCCCCTGGCGCTGGGCGACCCTCAGCCCATCCTGGAAGGGGTCCTGAGGAAGCCAGGTGCTGGGGGAGGGGCAGGCAGGGGCGGAGCCAGGGAAGAGCAGGCTCAGACGTTTCTAAAGATCATCAGCTGCTCTGTAGAACACACACCTATTTCTCAGCTTACTACAGTTTTTGCTATTACAATTAGTTTGTCTGATTTGTTGTTGTTTTTTGGGGGGGAGGAACTGTTCTTGGACTTGAACTCAGGGATAGGGATAGGGAGCTCTCTCTGAGCTTCTAAGCTTTTTTTTTTTTTTTGTCTTTGTTGCTGTTGTTGGTTGTGGGGCTTGAACTTAAGGCCTGGACATTGTCCCTGGACTCCTTTGCTCAAGGCTAGCACTCTACCACTTTGAGCCACAGCGCCACTTCCGGATTTCTGGGGGCTAATTAGAGATAACAGTCTCATGGGCTTTTCTGCCTGGGCTGGCTTTGAACCGTGATTCTTGGCTCCGAGCCTCCTGAGTAGCTAGGATTAACGTTGTGAGCCGCCAGTTGTGGCATCCCTGAGCTTTTTTGCTAGTGCTCTACTACTGAAGCCAACAGCTTCACTGCCAGCCTTTTATTTTCTAGCAGTTAATTGGAGATAAGAGTCTCACAAGCCCCTCCCCCACAGTATAACCCCTGCTTTCACTGTATTTGATGTGGGCATAATTTGTGGAGGGGAAGGGGAAAAACAAGTCGTTTAAATAAGGATACAGGTGGACCCGCTGCAACATTGAGAAGTACAAGCTGTCATGTCGAAAACTAACTTTATAACTTTGGTGGGGGGGGGGGGGGATTAGGGGGGGGGGGGGGGGGGGGGTAGGCTGGGAAGGGATGGGAAGGGGAAACAAAGGAGGAGGCTACAATGCTTGATAAGATATGTACTCATTATCTTGCTCATGTAATTGTAACCCCTCTGTACAGTATTTTCACAATAAAAAAATAAGAAATTAAAAAAAAAAAAAAGAGTCTCACAAGCCAGTGCCGGTGGCTCACACCTGTAATCCTAGCTACTCAGGAGGCTGAGATTTGAGGATTGCGGTTCAAAGCCAGCCCGGGCAGGAAAGTCCGTGAGACTCTTATCTCCAATAAACCACTAGAAAACTGCAAGTGGTGCTGTGGCTCAAACGGTAGAGCGCTCGCCTTGAGCTGAAGAGCGCAGGGGCAGCGCCCAAGCCCAGAGTTCAAGCCCCACAACCGACAAAAAAAAAAGAGTCTCACAGACTTTCCTGCCCAGGCAGACTTAAACTGCAATCCTTAGATCTCAGTTGAGTAGCTAGGATGATAGGTGTGCGCCACTGGCATCCAGCTCACATGGCTGCTTCTCAATGCAGGGCTCCACATTAGCAGTCAGGAGGAGGTGAAGGGAAGTGCCAACTAGGACATGGCACTGTTTCCCCCAGACCTCAGGAGGAGAGGCTAGCTCTTGGCAAGTGTTCCTTATCTTGAAAAGGCAGGCTGAGTTTCTTGCTCATGGCAGCGGTGCCATGCCTTCAGTCTGTTTCATTGGATATGGATTCTCCTTTTCTTCCTAGGCTGGCTCTGGACATGGGTCCCCTGATCACAGCCTCTTGAGTAGTTAGGATTACAGGTCTGTGTCAACCATGCTGGCTTCTGCTCTTTGTTCCACACTTTCCAATGCCTAAGTGACAGATGTGAGGGCTGAGACTACAAGTCTTGATTCCAGCGTGACCTCTTAATTTGGTGACCATAGCAAGAAAGTTCCGGCTCCTTCCTTCTCCCCCTGCTCCTGCCTGGGACCTATGGCAGCTGGGCTGGGTGCCCTGCCACCAAGCTCTGCAGACAGCACAAGCTGGACACAGCATGAGAATTTCCTGAAACTTGTCCCACACTTGCAGTAGTGCATCAGGAGACGACTGCACACGCTGATGTGCAGAGGACTCTGTATGGAGCCAAAGTGAGTTTTTAACTTTTCATTTTTGGTGCTGTTTTTTGGGCTTGGGACTTCAACTCTGGGCCTACGCACTGTCCTTGAGCTTTTGTGCTGAATGCTAGTGCTCTACCACTCCAACCATAGCCCTACTTCCAGTTTTTTTGGTGGTTAAATGGAGATGAGAGATACACA